AGGCTGATACCAGGGAGGTGTATGAGTTCCACCTCCATCATCCGGACCGCTCATGATGGTTCTACCTCTCCTCACCCTGCTAACCAACCTGACTGGCCTTCAGGAGAAGGATGGGTGAATCCTTGGCCTTCTCTGGTTTCTTTTCTCCCATCAAGCAGCTGCTTGGTGTACACGAGGTAGGCAAGTCAAGTATTATATCCACCGGCAGATGAAAGAGGGGGATCTCAGGAAGGATGATGACTTGTACCAGGGTTCCACAACAGGCCTAGCCTTTGGCTCTACCTTTTGATTTCTCTAAACTCCAGTTCTCTCATTTAGGCAGATGGAATAATAAAACCAACCACACAGGTTCCTGTGAGGGTTACAGAGATAATGTAAGTGAAATCACTCTGCAAGCTGCTTTCAAATGCCAGCAAATTTTTACTGTCATAATTAGGACTAGTTTGAGGATCTTTTGTCTTTGAACCAAAATGCCTTTTTTTTTTCAAAATTGCTTATTCATGCATCCATTCATTCATTCAGTAATGATTTTTGAATGTTTGTGAGAAGTCAAGTGCTCTGCTAGGTCTTGGAAATAGGAAGCTGAAATAGACAATTAAGAAGAGGAGATTGTAGCCTGGAGGCAAGTCAGGCCCCCAGAAGGTGTGTGGCAGCTGGCGTGGGTGTCACCAAAATAGGCTTGTGAACGACATGGCAAAGGAGCTGAGGGGCAGCTGGTGTCCATGCTGTGGTGGGAATGGCATCAGAGAGGCTCTACCACCTCAGAGTGTGCCTCGCACTCATAACCCTCATGCCCACTCCTCCGTGACACAGGATCTGCTCTGGGGAACAGAGGAGTCTAAACTGGGGAGACCACTAACTGCAGACCTGTGGGGTCAGCTGACTTTGATGGACATGTGGGACGTCCAAATGAAATAAGGCTGGCCCAATTTGGTTTTTGGTTTAGTTTTAATTTTTAAATTTATTTTTTATTTGACACAGAGGGGGAGAGAGAGAGAGAGAGAGAGAGAGAGAGAGTAAGGTGGGGCAGGGGAGAAGGGCAGAGGGAGACAGAGACAGAGAATCTTAAGCAGGCTCCACTCAGCAGAGGACCCCAAAAGAGGGCTCGATCTCATGACCCTAGGACCATGACCAGAACTGAAACCAAGACTCAGACACTCAACTGCCTGAGCCACTCAGGCATCCAATTATTTTTTTAAAGTCAAACCAGTGACCATGAGTCAGAATGGCTAGATTTCTGTAATGAACACAAGATGAAAAGAAAACAAATCCAAAAAAAGAAAAAAATCTGGATGTCTCATTTGCATACTTGAAATTACAGGGGAAGAATCTCCCAATTTAGAGTTTAGAGTTTATTGCTCCCTGTTGTGCACTTAGTTATGATTAATCATTCCAAAATTCACGAGTCATGGTCCTCTTAATTGAACAAACTTTCCATCATATTTATGAAATAAAACCATAGCTCCTAAGGGTGACCTTAATGCAACCTTGAGTTGACACAAGGTTAGTGATGTGGGAATCAGATTGGGAGCTGGGTTCTACAACCCATAGCTGCTCAGAACATGAGGATCAGTGGCTAAGATCCCCTTGAAAAGCTTGGCATAGGTAGTAGGATGCCTGCCCACGTCTTGGAGCCAACCCACTGCCATGCACTGGCCGATAGCCCTCAGTTAGTTGCCATAAAGCCTGCTGTAAGAGGTAGTATTTTGCAGATTGGGAAACTGGATCTGGGAGTTTAAGTGGTTGCTGGTGGTGACTATAGAAAACAGGAAGAATATCCCTGATGATTCAGCTGGGCAATTATATTTGGGTCCATAGAAACAATGTGGCCTCTTTCTTTAAAAATCAGCCCCAAAGAATTAGTAAAATTCGAGTCAAGCTGGATGTTGAAGGTACAGCTTCTTTATTGGTGTCAGCTACTTCTACCAGTAAACTTCGCACAATGCCTTTTACATGCTCAATATATATTTGAAGAACTAAAACATTTTGGCACTGCAGATCATCTTAGAGACTCTTAGGTTCAGTCCCTCTCCTTTTTCTTCCTCCACTGAGGAAATTGAGGCCCCAAAGGGAAGGAACTGTTTGATCAAGATTTGTTTGTTGTTGGCTAGAACAAAAACCGAAGTTGTCTGCCTCCAGGGCACCAGCAAAGGGTAGCACCTGGGGAAGGCCATGAATGGGGTCTGGAATCCTGTCCACAACCAGACTGAGGGAAAGCCTGCCTTATTACTTTTCCATAGGGCCCATCTACTCACCAAACCAAAGCACGGGCTACATCTGCTCTGAGAAATGTTTAGATGCAGAAGGGTGATGCTAAGTGAACAGAGGCCCAGACTGTTGATTTTTAATAGGGTTAATTGATTCTTTCTGCCTTTCTGTGACCCACTCTCATTCTCTCTCTCTTTCTCTCCCTCTCTGTCTCTCTCTCTCTCATCTGTCTATCTTCCTACCTATCATCTGTTGTACCCATAGTGATCAAGATATAGCAGCTAATGGATAGAGCGCTACTGCAGAGAACAGGGACAGCATTCACTCATGCTGGGGGACACCCAAGGAATATTGGGTACATACCCATCTGTGAGACTAGACTATAAGTTCTTGTCCATCTCTGCTTCTTGCTGTCCTACCAGAGTCCTGTTCATGGAAACATTCTTGGTGAACCATATACTAGGCACCCAGAGTGGAGGCTGTGGGGCACCATAAGCAGAAGAACCATCTTCCTGAGCCACAAGAAGGTCATGATCTAATGTAGGAGATGGAGCATACCTACAGCTCCACAGATACATCCAGACATTAGGGAAGAGCCTTAAAGAAATGTGCAGAGAGAGAAGAAAGGGAAAGTACCTTGAGATCATCACAGTAAGTGAAATAAGTCAGACAGAGAAAGATAAATACTATGTGATTTCACTGGTAAGTGAAATTTAAAAAACAAAACAAACCCCAGACTCACAGATACAGAGAACAGATCGGTGGTTGCCAGAGGTATGGTAGAGGTTGGTGGGGAATGGGTGAAGGGGATTAAGGAGGTACAGACTTCCAGTTCTAAAATAAATAAGTCATGGGAATATAATGTACTACATGAGGAATATAGTCAATAATCTGTATCAACTTTGTATGGTGACAGTAACTACACGTAATGTGGTGATCGGTTCATGATATCTGTATATGATGTCAAATCATGGTGCTGAATGCATGAAATTAGTATCATATGATATGTCAACTATTCTTCAACAACAACATATATTTGCAAAAGTAAGACAAACCAGGCTTTGCACTCAAATAATGAGGCAGGTGGGTCAGGCATGTATTTGTCAGTTCTTTTTCAGAACGAGAAATAAGTTAGGCACTCCATTTGCATTTTCAAAAATCCCTTTGTTACTGTGTGAATCCTCTTGGTTCATCCTGAAGGCTGCTCTTGCTTGAGTTCCTGCTTTTGAGTTGTAGAGTCCCCAGAGAAGCAGAGCTTGGATACCTCCTCCTCCTACCCATTCTGAACCTTTTGGAAGAGACCAGGCCTTCCTTAGGGGTAGGGCTCATGAGTAGCAGCCAGGAAAGCCAGACAAATTGGGACCTTACTCTAGAGTGATCAGGGCCAATATGCTTCTGCCAAGTGTCTGACTCCTTACAGAAGAGGTCTTATCTGAGTAAGCCTTGATTGAATACCAGATATTGAAGATCAAATCATCATTAGGGGCTACTAATGGCCACTCCATCACCTGTGTTATCAATGTGAAGACATGAAACAAAACCAGTGACCTGTGTGCCCTTTGTCATCCAGGAACCTCTAATCCAAATTAATTTTAATGAAGCTCAGATTCAGGACAGATCTGTTCTCTTTGTGTGTATGTATGTGGTTTTTTTTTCCACTCCTGAGTACAAGCTATTGTTCAATTTTCCCAGCAAAGCTCAGGCATGGTGTGATTTTTTCAGAAGATGGTGCAGAAAGAGAATTTCAGAGCATGAATATGTGTATCCTTTCAGAGGAAATGTTCAAATGGAATCAGCCAACCAATACATCACCCTGTCAATTTCACAGCAGCATCTAAGATAATGTTTGCTATGATCTTTACAGTAACAAATGCAAAAAGGGACTCCAAAATTAGGTGTACGACTATGTCAAATGACAAAAAACCCAACTAAGAAGTGTCTCCAGCCACAGAGTGATAGAGGTCTTGGAAGTGACTCATGAGCAGAGGCCACTAAGAGCAGGAAAGTGTTCCCAGCCTTATCCCCTTCACTTCTCTCTTAGCTGGACAGCAAGGTGGGGGAATGTCAGATGATGTCCACCTTCTGTCGAGCCCCAGCTATGAGCCTGGCACTTCACATTTGCTATTTCATCACCTAAGTTCAACTACTGCGTAGTTACTATGTAGATACTACCTTCCCTGCTTATTCTCTGGGGAGTCAGAGCTCAGTTAGGTCAAGTAACCTATGGAAAGTCCTATAGTTACTAATGAGATTAAGATTTAAGCCCCTGACTACAGAGACCATGCTCTTGTCAAGACACCAAGTTGCCTTCCTCATGAACCCACTGGGAGATTAGCCTTGGATGGGAACATATGCAAGAGCAATAGGAATCCTTGCCCTTTGGATTTGAACCATCATGGCAGCCTAAAATGGGATGGAGAGTCATAGCATATCAGACCTGGTCTCTACTTCCACAGTCACTATTGAACCTCTCTAAGCCTCAATTCTTAATGAGAATAATAATAATGTGTTGAATTCATAGAGTTGCTGGGAAGACTACATTATATGGTGCATATCCCAGGCTTGGTACAGGGCCAGACACATAGTGACTGCTCAGTACATTTTAGGAAGAAAACATGCAAATAGTTTGCAGTTCTCTTTGTATAACTAGCTTGGTGAAGGGTGAGGTATGTCATGTCTTAAAGCAGAATCAGAACAGGGATAAAACCTGTAGGTCTGCCCCTGATGTGGGATGCTCATGGTTCCAGGCTAGGGTCCCTGCAAAGTGTGGCCGTGGGGTTCATATTTTCCAGTCATCACCATATTTAAGGGTAAAGTGGAAGAGGTGGAGCTGCCTGTGGAGAAGGTAGACATCATCATCAGCGAGTGGATGGGCTACTGTCTGTTCTATGAGTCAATGCTCAACACGGTGATCTTTGCCAGGGACAAGTGGCTGGTAAGTGTCCTGCATGCTGTCCCCTTGTTGGCTTGCTGGCTATCCTGCTGCTCCACCCTTGGCCGACAGTCTAGGAAGAACATGAGGACTCCAGAGAGAGCTTGAGCTAAAAGGTCACCTCCTCCAGACCCCTCTCTTTAAACCAGATCTGCTTTAGAGGACAGAATGATGGTACCTGGGTCCAACATATCTGTTACATTATTCTGTAGGTCTAACACTGGCCTCTTTGGTCATAGACAGCACCTATTCTCTGTTGTCAAGACAAAAATCTATTCTGATCAACAGGTACTTAGGACTTGTTTGGCTGCCAAAGAGCTGAGCATGCTTATGACCTTGGCTTCTCTAGGCTAAAGGGTTATAATATCCTTTGCTGTTCCTCATGGACTAACCTTTTCCCCACTTCAGTTGTTCTATTAACTCTACCTAGGTCACTCAAATTCTCCCTGTTCCCAAATAAACACTGAGCATTGCCATCCTAACCCTAACCCTGGTCAAGGTGACAGTCTGCTGAATGAGAAATGCTGGCAAGGGGGTGCCTGTCTGGTAACTCTATGTGCAGTTCAAAATGTGATGTCTTTGTCAGGTGAATAGATTACGAGACCCATTTCCCCACAATTCATCAACAGAAACCTGGAGGGCTTATGTTTCCAGACCGGGCAGCATTGTACGTGGTAGCAATTGAAGACAGACAGTACAAGGACTTCAAAATCCACTGTAAGTCACCTTTTAAGTTTTTGTTGGACATTTTGTTTTATATTTGCGGTGGGAGACACTTCATTGGCCCTGAGGTGAACATCTGGTGTCATGAATATAGCTTCCATGCCTATGGAGGAGTTTACCTGAGACTTATTCTGGATTCTTCTCTCTAAATGTTTTCCTCTAGTCCCAAGGGACAGGGCGGGGGGGGGGGGGAGGTTCTACAGAGAGAAAATAAGCAATAGAGCTCGTATAAGATACATATCCTGGAGTGAGAGAAGGAATGCAATGTGAATGAAAAATGAATTGAAGCAGCAGAAGCTGATTTTTGCAGAGAATACCAGGCCAGCTGGCTGGGAGCTTGTAGAGGTTCAGTTATGTCAAAAGTCCACTGCAGGGGTCAGAGACAGCAAATCACTAGCCAGGTCGACCATTCTCAATCCTGGCTCATGCAAGTCAAATTTATCAAAATGATAGTGCTTCTTCTTCACATGAAGTAAAACACGTGTTCTTCTATGAGGTTCTTTTGGGGGAATGGCTGGCGATGGGGGTGGGGAGAGATGGAGACTGTGTGTGCACGTGTGTACAAACATGTATGTGTGTATTTGTCGTGGGTCTCATATCCAAACTTATATTTATTCTGCTTTATCACCCCAAAACTTATTCTCTTGTGGAGAAGAGCCAACAAACGATCTTTTGTTTGCCCACTCCAATCTTTTATCTGGTCTGAAAGAGATGCTTTGTTCTTTTTAATTTAGACGGTAGCATTTCTTGGTGACACAAGCTAGGTCTTCAAGCTTATTCCAAATGTGTTTTCATAAATTAGAAATGGCCACATCTCCTCAACCAGAACTAAACATGACAGAGGAACGAAGAAACCCTCACACTGGCAAGCACGTGCATGATCCAAACCCAAGCATGAGGTAGAAACTCCACACAGCATGATGGAGTCAGAGGACCCGGGATTCCTGCCCCTGCAGCAGCCAAACCCTCCTGGGCAAAACTACCGTGGAAGGGTTCACAGACTGGACACATGATCAGCGCCTTCTGTCCCGAGAGGCGGAGACTCCGTAGTCTGACAGATTATGGCTCCATTGATTCACACAATTACCATCTAAGTATTGCTAGTGCCCAACGACACTTTAGCTGGACTGTGCTATGGAATGTGTATATTTGTGTGTGTATGTTCACACCCTTCTGGAAATATAGCATCAAAGCACAGGTAACATTGGATGATAATATAACATCAGAGCCAGGTTCAGGAGAAGACAGAAATGGGACAGTTCTTTGAAGTTCTATGTTCTCTGCCTCCAGCCTATCTGGTGTCATTTCTAGCATCTGATGAGCAATGAGAGTGAGGATGTCCTAGGTTAGATGATCATGCTTTGAAGTCTGCCAGCCCTGGGTTCAAATCCTACCTGGATAACTGGAAACAAATTCCCTAACCACTTTGGCCTCATAGATAATATTGCCAATCCCATGTACAGCCATGAGGATAAAGTGAAATGATGTATATCAAAGGATGTCACAGTTCTTAGTGGTATATGAGACTTGACTGGACCTAGGCTCTGAACATGTCACTAAGCCCCTTCCTGTTTGTAGCTCTGACAAGCGAGCCTCACTGCCAAGCTTGTTGGCCTCCAGTGGCTCAGAATCTAGGACAGATGTGCTCTCATGGTAGATTGCAGAAACAACTCAACAGTGAACATTGATCAAATGCATGTAAAATAGGACATATTTTGCCCTGGAGCTGCATTATAATGCTGCTTTTGGAGTTCTTGCTGTGTAACTATACTGAGAGTGCTTTGAGGGGAAACTTCAGGTGTATTCTTCATTCTTGTGTGTAAATATTTTTTGAGCCCTGACCCAGGGCACAGTTCTTTAAGGGACTTTCTCATGGTTTAAAAGCAAACATACCCTACCGTCCTCCTTCCCCTGGATTGTGTTTGGGAACCTGTGGCATATGCACACTGTAATGAGCCAGCTGGAGCTGGAGAGGACCCTGGGAAGAGCCCAGGAGGTGCGAGAGGGCAGTTGCTGCCACTCAGGTGCTAGTCCAGGACTGGAGACCGCGCGATTTAATCTCACACTGCCCATTGCAATTTTCATAGCTTCTGGGAAAGGAAAAAAAAAATTTTAATCAACCTTTCTTTTTTCTCATTAAATGTTTGCTCTGGAGTCTTCTATCCAAACTCCGCCCCTCCCCAAAAACCTCAACCCCTTCCCCCAAATAAAAATCATATATACATTTAAAATTTATTTAAAATACTGTGAAGTTTTCCATTAAAAATTTTTTTAATGATCTGTTTTTGTTTTTAGTAAAGGAAGTGAGCCCGCTTAGAAATCTGTTTCAAATAAACAGAGATTTTGGTTACTCTGAGTTCTAAATCAAAAGTAAAACATAAAGGTTGCTGGTTGCTAAGGGAACAATTGTAAGCAAATTTCAGTTGGTTCAAGAACCAGCTAAAAAAGAAGAATCTTAAAGTGGGGCAGGAGAATGAGATAAGCCCAGACCTTTTCATAAAGTAAATTGTTACAAAACAGCTTCCTCTTCTCCTTTCCCCTTCCCTCCTCCCTTCACCTCTCCTCCCTCCTCCCCTCCCCTATCCCCTATTGCCTTGCCTCTCCTTTCTTCTCTCCTTTCCTTTCTCAACCACATGCAACATGGAAACACAAGAATGAGTGAAACACAGAAGTTGCCCTCAGTATGCCCACCAACTGCTATAGAACACATAAAAAGAGAGGTAAATGATTGGCATGCACTAGACTATGTACTAGACTCACAATACATATTTTGTTGAATGAATGAATGAACAAATAAAGGAATGGAAATAAAAAGTAAAGGAATGTGCCAGGTGTAGTGTTTAATCCCAAGAGAGGAGCAACCTTTTTTTTTTTTTTTTTTTTTTTTTAACATTTCTGCTATGGAGGAAATATATAGTATCTTAAAACTGGAGGGAAATGTGGTCAGTTTTCTATTTGGTTTCTCATCCAATACATGAATCTCATGTGAATCTATAACCTTCTGAGAGTCAGAGGTATGGGCACCAGCTTCCTGGCTCATGAGAAGATGAAAAGGAAGGTCTCCTGTGGAGTTAGGGGTGCCTGCAGCTGGTGGAGTGAAAGGCAGGACCGCTTGGACAGCTCAGTTGCTTTCCAGGGGGTTCTCTTCCAACTTCACCCCCAACATCCAGAGCTCTATCCTCTAGCTTTCTCCAGTGTTATACAAGGAGTTGACTCCATTCCTGAGAGACTGAAATGTATGAAAGTCTTCCTTTCTGTCTAGAGGAGAAACTGTAATTAGTACCTGCTGGCACTTGCTCTATTTTGTTATTTCTCTGAGCACATTCTGAGGCATCCCCATTAGCCCTAGCAGAGAAACTCAAATTGTGGGGCCAGGGTGGGGAAGGAGGATGTAGCTACAGCTCTCTCCTATGAAATGTAAAATGTGTTCTCGAGTGCTTCATATTTCATTTCCTGCAACCGCTTTTGAGATTTTTCTCTTTATTTTGATATTCGACAGGTTGACTCTGATGTGTCTACATGAGTTTTTCTTTGTATTTAGTGCACTTGGGATCCTCCAGCATTCTTGGATCCGTGGGCTGATGATTTCATTCATTTAGAAAAAAACTTTCAGTCATTATCTCTGCAAATATTTTTTTCTGCCTGATTTATCTTTCTTTTCTCCTTCAGGGACTCCAATTACACATATGTTAGATACTGTTTGATATTGCCCCATGGATCTTGGGTGCTATTATATTTTTTCTCTTTTATTTTTCTCTTTGTATTTAAGTTTGGGTAATTTTTATTGACCTATTTTGAAGTTTATTCATTATTTCCTCTGATGTATGCATTCTGTTAATAAGCACATTGAAAGAATTCTTCATCTCTGATATGTCATTTTCATTTCTAACATTTCCATTGCCTCATTTTTAGTTTCCATCTCTCCAGTGAATTTCTCCATCTGTTCATGCATGTTTTTCCATTAGTTTCTTTAACATACTTATTATAGGTACTTTAAAGTCTCCGTTGGATAATTCCAATATCCAGCCTGGCTGGTTCTATTGACTGTTATTTTCTTTTGATGATGGGTCATATTTTTTTTCTTTTTTCATTCACCTTGTAATTTTTTCTAAATGCTGAGCATTGTCAGTAAAAGCACGATAGAGACAGATGCACAACATTTATGCCAAGAAAAGAGTATGCCTTTTCCTCTGCCAGGCCATTAAAGTGGGAATTTGAGTCAATCCAGTCTATAATGATAATAGGTCTGGGCTTTGTTGTGGCTTTAGTTACATTCACTACATCACAGGGCAGTTCTTTTCAAGAGTTTGGTTTTTAATCCATTACAAAAGTTCACAGGTCCTTCTGATGTTATTTTTTCAATCTAAATAAGAAAACTATTAACAATATTTCTGGGTAGCCAATGGCCCTCACTCCACATATACTCAGTCAATAGATAAGACAGAATTGCAGTAAAAAACTAATCTGTTTGATTTATTGTTGTCCCATCCCTGATCCACTTATGGTAAAGGAGCTAGTAGGAAATGAACAGTTAGCAGAAAGAAGAGAAAACTAATTTAATGTCCTAATGAACTTTCTCCTGAATAACTGAAGGCAGGGTAGTTTAGCTGGGGAGAAAAATAGTAATTAACCTCTGTAAAGGTAACTAAAACACCGGGCATTGCAAAGCAGTGTAGACATTAAATATCTGAGAATGAATCTCAATTAAAAAAGCATTATATGTGCACCTGTATTGTGCTAGATGCTGGCCTATAGGTGTTGAGAATACAGAAGTAGTCCCATTATTGGGAGTGGTTAGAAAAGGTTTCACAAAAGCATGAGACATTAAGCTCACCATTTCACAACTGCATGGGCCTTTAAAGATCATCTAACACATAGTTTTTCACACTCTGGTTGGAATTACCTATATAGATTTGTAAAATTCCAGCTTCCAGCTTCCTGGATGCCAAATATGGAGATTCTGATTCAGTAGATCTGGTATGGGCCCAGAAATTTGTATTTTTAAAAGTGTACCATATGATTCTGGAGCATGGAAGCACTGAACCAAACTCCTCACTTTTACAGGCAAGCCCAGAGAAAGGAATTGATCTGTCCATGGTCACATAGCTGATATGGTGGCAAAGCCAGAGCTCAAGCCACATAATGAAAACAACCACTAAGTATCTGCTGCTTTCTATATGCCAGACACTGTCTTATGCACTTTACATATATTATCACATTTAAACCTCATAACAGCCCAATAGAGTTGTTGTAATAATATAATAATCTCTATTTTTAAAAAAACCCAACTCATTGAGAGGTAAGTTTTTGCTGAGATTACACAGCAAATAAATGGCAGAGCCTCAGTTTGGACTCTGAAGCCCAGTCCTTTACCATTATGCACATAGACTTGGATATTTGCCCAACAGTTGCCCTGAGCCTCAACTTAAAGCAGAGCTGAGAGAGGGAAGGAGCAGGAACATGGCAGCAGGTCCCTTAGGAAGTATTTTACATGAAGGCAGCATGTTTAGTGCACATGTTTTGTCTGGAGAGAAGACAGATAGCTATTTCCAGACTCTAGAAGGGGGTCTTCTCTGAAACATGTCCCCATTGCCAACCAAGCAGCTTCCTTCTCCAAAAGTAAATTTCAACTGGGAATTTGGCACCAACTTCAGGTGACTTAATGGTATATGACTGGCATCTTATCCGTAAGCCAGAATGTCACAATCCGTAAGCCAGAACGTCACAAGGGCTTATCTTCTGGGAGATGGTTATTTTCTCTGCCTTTTCTCCCTGAGGAAAGTCTTTTGTGTGCCTCAGAAAAGGGTCAAAGGGGCATAGCTTTCATCGACCGTTCCCACCTCCTTCCTCACACACCTCCTTTCCTAAATGTACAGAAACACAGCTCCTTAAGGCACCATTTGTTTGATGCACATTTTAAAAGGAAATTTAATCCCATAAGATTTTAGAAAAAAGCATCTTTACTTCAATGCATTTCTAGACCCATTTGAATAAACAGACAAATGAGATTCAGCTGCTCAGTAACTAAAGCCTGTGCTTAGGCCACCCTCTGCACTACAAGGAAAGGAAATTGCATTTCCGGTTGCTGTCACAACAGGGTCATTGCAGCTGAAGAGTCAGGGGACAAGTTGGGGTGAGCCCTAGCTCCACAATCTCTCTGATGTGTGATCCTGGCCCAGATACTGTGGGTGGGCCAGATGCCAAATTCTCCCAGCCTATTTCCTTGACTATTAGATAGAAGTATCCCCTTGAGGTTGCTGAGTATATTAAATGAAGAGTCTAGGGGTGCCTGGGTGAGTCAGTTAAGTGTCTGACTCTTGATTTTGGCTCAGGTCATGATCTCATGGATCATGAGATGGAACCCCATGTCTGGCTCTGCACTGACAATGCAGAACCTGGTTGAGATTTCTTTCTCTCCCCTCTCTCTCTACGCCTCTCCCTGCTTGCACTCTCTCTCTCTCAAAATAAATAAATAAACATAAAAAACAATGAAGAGTCTAGCCTGGGCTAGGTGGCCAATCAATGGTAGCAATGATTATCACCAATTAGGAATGGTCTTAGGTCATCAGATGTGCATTCATTTACTTACCAGCCCTGCACCCTACATCTTTCTCCCTCTCAAAGCACCTTATGAGCAGCTACAAGGGGCCAACGAGCACCACTGGGATGGTTGTGCACCACTTGGGGGTTATTTCTTATGGGATGGATTCTTAGTGAGTGCATCATAGCATAGGAGAAAGGCAAAGACTCTCATGGACCCCTCTCTTTCATTTTGCAGTTGAGAAAACTGAGGTTCAGAGAGATTAGGGAATTAGCCCAAGGGCCTGGTCAGTAAGTGGTGGTGCTGGGATTCAAACTAGTCTATACCACTTTAAGAGCCCATGTTTCTCTCTGCTTTGTTAAACGATCAGTGGGTGAGGTCAGGAGAAGGGAGAAAGATGGGTCTTCTAAGTGTGCAGAACAGCTTGAACAAAGGCACCAGGATAGAAACGTGGATGGCAGATAAAAGTTTGTAGGAAACTCTCTTGGCTGAAAGAGAGGGACAGGAAAGTAGATACAGGAAGAGTCAGACAATTTGGATTCTAGTCTACAGTAGCTTTCTGTAACATTCTAGCTGTGTGAACTTAGAGAAGTTTTTCAGCCTCTCTGAGCTTTAGTTTTCCTAACCATCAGCTGGGATCTGTACATACTGCCAAGCTCTCCGCCCAGATGAGCAATTCCTCTATTCTGATGTAGGGGAATATGAGTTGCCCCTTGCTCTCTTGGGCATTCTGTATTCTAATATTCAGGAGGGCTGGGAAGACTTCTGGGGGTCCTGCAGCTGGCCCTCATGTCTCACTCTGTTTTCACAGGGTGGGAGAATGTCTATGGATTTGATATGACCTGTATCCGGGATGTTGCCATGAAGGAGCCCCTGGTGGACATCGTGGACCCAAAGCAAGTGGTGACCAATGCCTGTTTAATAAAGGTCTGCAGACTCATTCTGCTTGGGCCAGAGCGTGCTGGGAACCCAGCTGTGCCACTCTGGAAAGCCGTGGGCCTTGAGTAAAGGCAATCACAACTCCTACACAGCCCCTGCCTGGTGAGGCAAGGTCACCTTGGCCAGAGTCTCTGGCATCCCAAGGTGACCACAAGTCACAAGAAGGTGCTAACACTAAGCAGAGCCACAGAGAGAGCCCCTGGACTCCATGGTGGCACAGCTGAGGGAAAGGAGTCAGTTCAATTCCCTTCATGGTGCAAAGGGAAGGGTGTGGGAGAGGGGGCATCATAGGAGATGCAGGAGGGTATGCTCAGGTTTGGGGAAGCTACTCCATTCACAGGTGGATGGCCCTCTTAGGAAAGAAATCCAATACCTGAATCTGCTGTGTAATCTTCATTATACTCGCACCTCTAAGTCCACATGTGACCCAGCCAGCCAGAGCTACTCAAACCCCTTCCTGAGTGGTCTTGTTTGTACAGGCTATAACAGCTTTTTTTTTTTTTTTTTTTTTTTTTTTTACAAGGCTTTTTTCAGTGCATGTGATGAGCAGCTGGTCAGCATCCTTGGGACACTGATCCTTAATGCATCCTTATTATTAAATATTCAAACATATCAAATTTGATAGAGTAAAATCAAAAGCTCCCCTTGACCTCTCCTCCCTCTCAACCCCACACTCTTCTTGGAGGTAATACTATTTACACATTGGATTGACCTTTCCATCCCTTTTCTAAGTATTTGCATTTATACATGCTAATATATTATGTTGAGCCATATAACGACTGATATTTATTTTTTTTTAAATCTAGAAAGACATCACTTTCATATGGTTGAAGTTAACTTTTTGATTTAAAAATCTGGGTTCATTCTGTAAGTATTCACTGGCGCATGTAGCCCTCCTCTTGCTAAAACATACTTGCCTGCTCTGGTCTTCTCTGTGTCACTTCTTGTCTGGGAGTGCTGGTCTGGAGACCTGCAGTATTTTCAATGGATAAAGGGGAAGAGTCTAGGGCTATTGGGGATGAGGAGAGGTTTCTGAAGTTCTCATGTAAACCGCTGCTTTGCCCAGGGGAGAACTGTCCTTTGTCCGTGGGCACAATCTTCCTAAGAAGAACCATTACTCTTGGTCCATAGTGTCATTGCAGCATTTAGAAGGGACCTCCGAGGACAAATAAAACTAGATGAGCCTACACAGATGAGTCTGAGATGTTGCTTCCCTCTTGTAACATCCTGCCTAAGAGGTGTGGCTGGGAGTCTAAGTCTTGGGCTCTCTGTTGATGGTGTTCTCACTAATTCTTAATTTGGTCCGTTCCAAGTCCAGGCAGGCCTGATTACAAGCAAACGTGTTCTTGTAGTTATTTCCTACCAGCCCCTCTGCCTAAAGTGCACCCCCAAATAATCCCACCCATAGCACAAAACACTTCTGTAAACATTGTAGAATAGATAGAAATCTCCTGGTGCAACTGAATTTGCCCAAATGACATATAACCATTAGGCACCTGCATGTAATGGCTTCAGTTTGAAGATACAATGCCTTCACTATGCTTGGGCCCCAGGTTGCTTTCTGCCTTTGGTGGGGTGGGCGTGGCCACTGTGTTTCTGTAGGTCCCACTGCAGGTCACAAGCACATGATGGACCAGCCTGCTTCAGCCTCACCCCCTTTCAAGGCCACTCTGCCCTCCCACTGCCTTCTCCCCTCTCTTAGCAAGGCTCTTTCCCCTGGTTCTACCTGAGTGCAGCCAGGGGCAAAGCAACCAAACTCAGTGAGGGCGTCACACACACACTCCTGTAAACTCCTTGTGGCTATGAGTATGTGTCCAACCTGGAGCTCTGTGCTGAAGTCCTGCCCCATCCCTGTACGGTAACCTTCCGTCCTCTCTTCTCTGAGAAAGATAAGGGTTTTCTGTGTTTTCTTCTGCAACCAGGAGAGCCCCTCTGTCAGCTTTCTTGCTAATGTGCTAAGCAACATTTTGCCAAGCCTGTTGGGAAAACACTTGCCCTTCTTCACACACTTAATTGCTGTTTTCATCGCTATTAACGTTGCAGAGTATGACACTTTATTATAATTAAGACTCTGTTTTGACCAGACTTCTGCTCTGAGACATCCATTTGTAACATTATTTAGTGGTGGGGATAATGGTGGCCAGGGGCCCTTCTCAGTAGTTGGTGCCTATGGAGCCTTCATGGGGGTTGCCAGAGGCCAAGTCAGGGGGTCTCCCTAGGGTGTCAGAGATGCTGCTGCAGCAGAAAGACAGAAACCTTCCAGCACAGGGCTCTGGGCTCTAGGAAGCCAGGGTAACTGTGTTTGACTCTGTGGGCTTTGGGTCTGACAGGAGGGTGGACCTGAGCCCAGAGGGGCCTTTGTGCTTCCAAAGCCCAGCTGCCGCTGGTCACCTTCACAGATGGCCTGGCTCCCATTCCAAAAGACCAACTGCCTTGTTGTCGCCATTTTAATGTATAGCTTTATTACTTCGGTCTTGAAGGCTTTTGTTCCTTCAGAAGCCCCTATTAAGATGCAAATATCTGTAGGACTTAGCAAATGCTGTGGGCTAACACAGAAGTTGATAAGCTGACAGTTTATACATGTCCGAGAGCAGGACCCTTATGGAGGTGGAATTCCTGATCCATGAGGGTGGTGTGTGTGTGTGTGTGTGTGTGGCCTGAAAGTGGTGAAGAGAGAGAGTTGACAGAAGAAAGGAGCCTGGTCCAGATGTGTCACAGAGCCGACTATCCAGGTCTCACTGTGTTCAGGCCAAAAGGTTTGGATATTTTTAGATAAGCCATAAAGAGCCATGGCAGGTTTTGGATTCAGGGAGCAGCACGGTCTGAATGGATCTGCGAGATTAATTAGTGCGTTCATTTGGAGGAGAGGTCTGGGGTGGGGGTTGGGGGAGGTAGGCAGGAACACAGCAGAGCAGGGAGACTTGTAAGAAGACAGAGAGGCATCAGGTGATAAGTTACACAGCAAGGGCACACAGACCAATAATAGGCAGCCTCTGCCCTGGCTCCAGTGTGGTGGTGGGGGGCAGGCTGCTGAGATGAGCTAGAAGTACAGTGGGAAGGCCAGGCTAGGCTGGAGCAGGGGACCAAGAGAGAAAGCTAACAAGGACCTTGGAAAGAGCCTGGAGCCTGACTGTCTGGCCCTGGCTAAGAAGGAGATGGTAGTCCGTGAGTACAGGCACTGTGAGCATGGTGGACTGTGCTGACAGTTAACCACGTCCCACTCTGAGTTGTTGAGCTGGAAGGAACTGTGGACATGTGACCAGAAGGCTAATAAATATCATGAAGACTAACAAGTGCTGGGTTTCAAAAGGAGCAATGGCCCAAGCTTAACAGGATGACATATGATGGAGGACCCTACACTTGGTTCCCAGGACAAAAGGAGAAAAGAACATGAGCAGGATGTGGTGGGGGGAGGGAGCTTGGCCAACAGAGTGAAGTCTGAGCCAGCAGTGTGCTTTTTGAGATCAGAGGCTGCTAGAAGTATGCCCCAAACAAGAAGGGTGACAGAGTCAGAAATCATGACTTATGCAAAGAGAATGAAAATGCAGACAATTTATGTTGGAGAAGAAAAGTTTTGGTGAGGGGGCCCATGTGAGCCAGAACAGACATTTGGTTTATTCCACGGGTGGAAGTTACAGAGACTGGTGTGTGCTCTCCTTACTCATTTAGAAGAGGGATCTGTTCATTGGAGATGTCAGGAAATGGAACAAGCCACCATCATCCATGATGGTGTCCAAGCAGGCACCAGAGGGCCACTTCCCAGGGATGCTACCAAAGGGACTCTTGCATTGAGTGAAGGGAGACTGGCTTTCTAATCCCATCACATTCTACATGCCTGATCCAGGGCTTCCCATCCCATTAATTTTTGTTCCCCATCCTTGGTTCTAGAAGCACAGCAAAACTGATGAGGTGACATCACCAAGGAGCTCCCCATTCCCCTAAATCTGCAATTCCACCCTCTTCCCAGCTAATAGGTCAGAACTTCAGCTTCTCTCAGAGATTGTGATGGCTGCACATCCCAGACCACAATAAGGCTCTTATCTGACCTATTCCCTTGACCACACCTCTTCCTCTGTCCACCCCCATGGAGGCAGGACTCCTCTTTCAAGACCCTGCTTTGCATCTGCCTTTCCTTTATCCTAGAGATATGTAGAGATAAAAGCCATTTCTGCTACACCACTTTGTGTCTTCCCTGCTTTGGTTTCCCCAGCCTCAGACCCCTCTCCTAATTATCCCCAACATATTCTATCATCTGGGTCCCAGGAGAGCCCCTTGGAATCAGTCCAGGCACACAGATATCTGTCTGGCTCTTACAGAGTCTTCAGGACAGAGGTCCTTGCTACACAACCCTGACAATGGGAAGCTTCCTTAGACTTCACTGAAAGCTGTCTGGATGCCTCTAGGGCCCTTGGAAAGTTGGCCCTGTCTCATCGGAGCCAGAAAACAGCAGGTTAGCATCCTTCACAGAGAAAAGAACAGCACACTGCAAACTGTCTTTCATTATACTTGCTCCCCACGCAACATTGATTTTCAGCCACTTCCTAACTGAAATTGTGAGAATTATTAGTTCTTTGTGTTCTCCATTCCCCAGCCAGACCTGAAAAATACTTACCTCTTATTGCTCTCTTTTCTTTCTTTTTTCCTTCTTCTCCCTCCCCCTCTCTCCTTCTTCCTTCCTTTCCTTCCTTCCTTCTTTCCCTCCTTGTTCCCTCCCTCCTCCTCCCTCCCTCCCTCCCTCCCTCCCTCCCTCCCTCCTTCCTTCCTTCCTTCCTTCCTTCCTTCCTTCCTTCCTTCCTTCCTTCCTTCCTTCCAGGCTTGGTGTAGATGGTCAGCAGAGTTTTCCTTGGTTTAGTCTGTGACTGTGGGTAGGCTCAGGTTCTCACTCTTGAGATAATACTTGGTGCCTCCCATTGCTAGGAACTTGAATATAAAAAAACTGGGAAATGACTAATCTGGTTCACCCATATCACTGGGAGGGTTTGATAAAGCACAGATTGCTGTTTTGATCCCATAGGTTTGAGATGCCCTCCCCACCCCACCCACACAGAATTTGCCCCAGGTGATGCTAATGCCCATCATCTGGGACCACACTAGATGAGAACCACTAGATGAGCAGAGCAATGCTGAGGTAGACTGCTCTGAGGCTGTTCAGACTGGGTTCAGGAATGCTCTATCTCATTAATCCTCTCTCCTCTCCACCCTCTACCCCATAAGCCCCATCCCCAGGAGATTTACCTTCCTAATTCTGTTGCCCTCACATTCTGACTCAAATGTGTTTGCACCATTGCCTGAGCATACCCCACCCTAGAAAAGATGGAGGAGGTCATTAGGAGGGTGGTGGGTGGGCCTGGGGAACCACCCCAAGAGTAAACGTCACCCCCAGACCAATGGTCTTTCATGGGAATGAAGCTGCTGACCAGGACCCAGACCTGGTGGAGGTGCTAAGTGTCCGGCATTTTCTTTTCTCTGGGCCACAGGAAGTGGACATTTACACGGTGAAGACGGAAGAGCTGTCATTCACATCTGCCTTCTGCCTGCAGATACAGCGAAATGACTACATCCACGCCCTGGTCACCTATTTTAATATTGAATTTACCAAGTGCCACAAGAAAATGGGCTTTTCCACAGGTGAGCCTTTTGTTGGCACTCCATACCCTCCCCACCCTCCATGTTGAGGCTTTGTGGGAGTGACCAGGGCTGGCCTGACTTGGGGAAGGACTAGGGGTATTAGCCAGGCACCCTTGCTGAGCATCTTAAAAGCCTTCTCCAGCACTTTCCCACACTTTTGGCTGCCAAAGGAGAAGGTAAATGAAAGTGTGTATTGCATGATCAGAGCTGAGAGTATGTGTTGCGTAGGGAGAGGCGGGGGAAGCCCTATTTCAGGGGCACATTTATTCATTGAACAATTGCTGGGCATATTCTGTATGAGGGGGTAAGGATACAGAGTGGAGTAAGATTTCCCCATCTTCACTGCCATGCCCTACTACGGGATTCAATGGATATCTCTGTAGGCTTCAGACTATGTCTCTCTGTCTCTTCCACCCAATCCATCCTTCATAAGTTCCTGACACTGTTCCCCAAAGACCACCTGAGCTCCCCTCCCAGCCCCTCTTCAGAGGTGACTCATTGCCAGCAGCAGAAGCCCACATATTTTAGCCTGGTAAGTGGGGGGTTCCACACTACCTGGGCCCCGCCCACTTCTTCCACCTCATTTCTCGCTGCCCCTCCTTTGCTTTGCCTTCCTCCCCTGTCCCAACACAGCACTGCACACACAGCCCAGTCACACTAAGCACCTCGCAGTCCCCTGAACTTAGCAAGGCTTCTTAAGTCTCTAGGCTATTGCCTTTGCACATGCCAGCCCCTTGTCCATTCAAGTGCGCCACAGGGACAAGAAGGCCTTTTGTCAGAGCCTCCTGTCAGCTTCTTTCTCCCTTTAGTAGTCACTAGGGCTGCCGTAACAAAGTATGACAGGCTGGTGGTTTAAACTACAGAAATCTACTTCTCACGGTTCTGAAAGATCGTGTCAGCAGGTTTAGTTTCTCCTGAGGCTCTCTCTTTGGCTTGCAGGGGGGCTTCTTCTCTCTGTATCCTCACCTGGCCTTTCCTCTATGTGTGCACTCCTGGCATCTCTCTGGTGTCCTAAGAGATTAGGACATTTATGTGTTGGTAAGAGGAGACTCTAAAAGGACACGAGCCAGATTGGATTAGGGCCCACCCAAAGGCCTTATTGAAAAGACTTCTTTAAAGACTCTCTGTCCAAATACTGTCATATTCTGAGGTACAGGAGACTTAGGGTCTCAAAACATGAATTTCAGGGAACACAATTCAGCCTGAAACACCTCCCTCATCCCGACCCCTCAGCTGGCCAATCCCAGCACAGGCCTCATCTCTCAGCCCCTCCTTCACTCCTGGTCAAAGTTAGGAGTCCTTTTTGGGGCTCTTTAATATCCTGTGCTTATGTTTGCCATGGCAATGTAAGAAAAGGGTATAAGTCAAGGGAAAAGTCCTCTTCTCATTCCAGCCCAGTCCTATGCCCCAGAGGCATATGTTACCCCCTTTTAAAAAACTTTTTATTCGAAATACTTCTCATATAAAGTTGCCAAAATAGTACATAGAGTTCTATGAACCCTTTACCCAGCTCCCTCCACTGTGGTATCACATCCAAACCACACCTTTCTTAAAATACAGGTTGGCTCATACCAAACACATGGCCCTCTGCTACCTTGTCTTTATATAACAATAAACATTAGAGGGTACCTAGTCAGTTAAGCATCCAACTAATGATCTTAGCTCTGGTCTTGCTCTCAAGGTCATGAGTTCAACCCCCATGTTGGGCCACTCTGCTGGGCTTGAAGCCTACTTAAAAATAAAACAAACAAACAAACAAACAAACAGTATACTTTGGAGACACTTCCACAGCATCATTGACATAGCTACTTTATTTTTGTTGTTGTTGTTTTTGAAACACAGGATTTCAATGTCAGATGTAGCTTATTCAACATTTTCACTCTTTGTTTGCAATTCTCAGTCTCCCCATGGGCTTGAGTCACATCTTATGAATCTCTGTACTCCTGGCTACTAGAGCAGTGTTTGGTTTGTAATAGGGTCTAAACAGATAGCTGTTAAGTGAGTATATGAAGATCTGAATCCTGCTCTTGGGAACATGTTCCTATTGGCCATGAATGTGAAGCCCTCCTGGAAAGCAGGAGCATGTCGTCAGGGGTGAGCCAGCATGCATGTGGCAAGCGTGGGTGAGCTCTACCAGAGTCCAAGGACATGATTCTTCACTTCCTGAAGCCTTGGTGACAATGATCAATCCTCTTTGACCTATGGATAGAGACAGCAAGAGGCTTATCTAACTCCTCCCAGAAGGGTTTTTTCCCAGAACTGGTGTCTCCTGACCACCAAGATCATGATCTTCTGGTCTCCATCATCTGGGCCAGTGCTGGTGCACCCTGTCCTGGGGGAAAACAGAGACCCCCCTCAACCTTGGTCATTTTTAGTTGTTCCTTTCTTACAGTGGTGGCAGGTGAGATTGTCTTCCTGGTAGTCAGGGACAGCTAGGAGGAGAAAGGGAGGTCTTACCTGGACCTTGAAGGATGAGTAAGACTCAGCCTCACAGTGGTGGGGTGTGGCAGCAGTGGGAGGGTGGAGCAGGAGCCTGGTTAAGGACCATGGCTGTGATTGGAATCCAGATGGAGCTATAGAGGCTGGCCCTGCCTCGGCCATTTCCAGGATGATGCTTCTGCCAGGGCCTGCCCTGCTGCAGATGATGAGAAAGGGTGGCAGAGGCACTCCGGAAAACACTGTGTGTTTATAAAGCCTAGGATCTAGCCAATGGCTCTCAGCTGGGGGTTTCTCTTCTCTGAGTTTATTTCCATTCCTTGAGGTCAAGCAGACAGGCTGCTGCACCCCTGCCCAGAGATGGCTCTCTGGCTCTGTGGTGGCAGGGACAACATTCCTGATGCTGCCACAGGAAGGAGTCCTGGTTAATCTTAAGTTTAGAATCAAAGGACTCAGCCCATGGCTGCCTGAGGGATGGTGAGAATTTTCTTTCAGTATTAAAGTCTCTAACCCATTGGAGCAGTTTCTTCCCATTCTATGGTCATACCCCCACTGTAGCTCTCCACAAGCCTCTTGAGAAACAATGAGGACTATGTTTCAGAGGCTCAAAGACCATGGGTCTAGATCAAGGTCTGAGCTCACTTGTCTTTTTTTTTTTAAGATTTTTTTTTTAAGTAACCTCTACATCCACTGTGGTGCTCAAACTCACAACCCCAAGATCAAGACTCACATGCTCTTGATCTGAGCCAGCCAGGAGCCCCTTATCTGTCTTTTTGCAGCTATAATTACTGCAAGAGGAGTGTTATATCACCTCCTCTTTGCACAGAACCCCAGAAACGTATGTCTGAAAGGTCATGCAGAGGTCCTGCACTGCCTGTTTCCATGCCTTGGTGCGGAGGTTCTCAACGTGTGGTTCATGGCCGGCAGCACCAGCATCACCTGCGAACCTGTTAGAAATGCAAATTGTCAAGACTTGTCCCAGATCTTCTGAATCAGAAACTCTGGGGCGGGGCCCAGAAACCTGTGTCTTTCAGAGCCTTCCAGGTGACTGTGATGCACAAATTAGTTTGAGAACCACTGCCCCTGTGCTAGGCTGCCTGAACAAAATGACTGTGAATTTGGTCAATGTTGATGCTTTTCTGGAAAGGTAACTCCGTCTCCTCACCATAGGATACCCTCTTTTCTCATCAAGGCCTTTGCCTTCTGGCTGACATAGGTCCTTCTCACAGCAGCATTCCCATATAGATAGAGATCGGGATGGGGGGCATAATTTGTTTCAATGCTTCCTCAGCCACCTGGGGAATGTACACATGGGGTTTTGCTTCCAGCAGATAGCAAACATCTTTACCACGTAGTGTGGGCTTATCAGTGGGCTTTTCCAACCCTCTATACTTTGAACATCTAGAAGAGTATTTACTTTTTGTTTTCAAGGACCTCAGACGCACAGAATTGGATTAATCCTAATGCTTGGCTTGTGACATCCTTGGGTCAGGAACAGTTCAGTTTTTGCTTGTTTATTTATTAAAATAATGAACACCTGTGAACTCACCACTACCTCAATAACTGGAACATAAATAAAATATTAACTAGCACAGAGTAGTAACTAGGAAGAAATATATTATTGTTCTTAGAATATAAATACATTAGTTAAATCAAGAAATAAACTATTACTAATTAGAATATAAATATTAAATAGAGTACATTATTAATAAATATAATGATATTATTTATAATTAATAAGTAAATTGATTCACAGTAACATAATTAATCCTTGTGCAGTCATCACCTATCTAAATGGATGCTCCATGCCAGCCCATCACCTCCCCCCATATTGCCTCTAGATGCACATTATTCTGAATTTTGTGTTCTTTATCCCCTTTCAATTTTAAAAAAGTTTTATCACATCTATGTGTATGTCTGCACCGCGTATTGTTTGGGCTCAGCTATTTTTGAACTGCATGTAGTGTGTAGCCTGACATATGTGCCCCCTTCCCATCGACCGACCACCAGCTGAGTTCTCTATCTCAGCCCAGCCATAGCTGGCTCTGCAGGGGAGGCAGCGGGGGGGCGGGGGGGGCACTCGCAAGCACATCACATATTGTGCCGCTTGAGAAACAATCCCTGTTAATGGCTCTGGCGTCTCCTCTCTGCAGCATCAGGCAGAAGCTGTTGAAAATGGGCACAGGAGCACAGGGTTCCAGGCTGTGCCAGCCAGTGCGTGCAGCTGCCCTGGCCCTTGGACACATCCTCAGTGGGGGGGGGGGGGGGGGGGGGGAACCCTTGGGGCTACTGGAGTGCATGGAGGGACAGCGGCTTGAGTAGAACCAGACCTGGGGTAGAGTCTTAGCCTTTCCAGGAGTCAGCCAGGTAGGGTGGCCAGGCATAGGAGATGGGCCTTGAGTAAGTTACTTTCTGGGCCTCAGACTCATTATGAGATGATGCAGTTGGACCTAGATGCCTAGCAGCCCCTTCCCTCTTTGCCATCTGGTGATAGCGAGTCATTGCCTCAGGTCAAAGAAGCTTCTTGGTGCATAGACTTTCATTCAAAAAGCCTCTGACCCCCCAGGAAATATAATTACAAATTTATAGCTAGAAAGTTTTAAATTTCAGACAAAGCTACCAGCCACGTAGCCATTGCAAAGTGAAACAGGAAGCAGGATTCCACTTCCTTTCCAAAAACACGGGGAAAATCTTCTTGTGAAGGCCCTTGCCATTTGTTCCCACAGCCCCCTGAGCTCCACATCCCCATCCTTGGTCACAAGGATGACCTCGCAGCCTGAGTGTCTTCTCATTAGGATGCTGGATGTGAGGTGGAGACAAGGCTGTATAGGTTGCTGTTTTCCAAATTTAGGACCATATCTGGGACCTAATAGGCATCCTGAATTGATGTTTATTGAATGAAGGAATGCATACATGAATAAATGCTTATATACCTGGAATGTTGGGGGCAGTCCTGGAATATAGAGCAAAAGCTGTCCATAATCCACAACCCAGAGAGACTGTGAAGGGGAAGGAGAAAAGGGGAGGTTGGCGTGTGTGGTAAGGATATTAAGAGTATAAAGATATCTTCATAATAGGGAAAACTGAAAGACAATTACATGATCTAGAAGGTTATAGTTGGGGCAGGGGAGGGAGGGAAGGACTTATTTACTGATGAGAATTCTAGATGTCATCCACAGCCCTGTGTTGGTTGCTCACCCTTGCACCTAGCACCTTTCTGGATACCTCCCCAGGGTATTCTAGACCACTAGAGTGAGGCAGCACATCTTTGAAGGCCAGAGCCATAGATTATGGATAAATAAAATGATATGCCACTTCCCATAATGATTATAACCACATAATACAATGGCTTATCAATACTCTCACGTGGGCTTAATGTGTCATGGTAGGGAGACCATATTTATCTTTCAATTAAGGACACTTCTGATAGTGAAAGGGAAAGCTATTAATAGTTATCCCAGGAAGACAAGTAAACTGGAACTGTCTTGGGCACAGCAGGAGATTTGGTCATATTCTTTCCCCCTTCTCATCCCATCTAACTCTCAAAGTACTTGGGGAGATGGATATCATGCCCCACATTCTGCAGATGTAGCAAATGAGCCCCAGATGCAAACACATGGCAACCTAGAGCCAAGAAACTGGGCTTGTTGTTGCCTAATTAAATGTCCTTTCTACTCTTGCCCACCCAAGAGATGTTATTAGATGCAAAAGAGTGGGTTTGTACAGTGATTTCAACCATGCTCTGTGTCTACAGCACCTGAGGGGAGATTTTTATGTCTTGGCAAGTCTATTCCCTTCACATCCCCCAAAATGACTGAATTCAAGTCTCTAGGAATAGAGTCAAGACATCTGAATTTTAATCAGTTTCTCCTGGACAGCTCAATGGATAATTAGTATTGTGAAAACTGGTCTAGATGATTCGTCCACAGCTGATGGACCCATCATGGAAAAAAAATGTTTGGGAAGGCTCTCAAGCTTTTTATGTTGTCAAGGGTGAAAAAAACACCCGCTTGCCTCCAAACCAAGGCTGGTGTATTTTTTGGACTACTATCAGACGCATCTAAGTTTGATGGCTGCCACACCTGAGCCAGTGAATCTCTGGGATTCTCTTAAGGCATCTGATTAGGTGACAGAATCCCCTTGCCTGAAGGTCTTTAAGAATAGGAGAGACACCTGTCTGAGCTGGTGTAGGAGGAAGTGGGGGTGAGAGTTCTGTCAGTCATACACTGCCATTCTCTGCACACACAAGAGACTATCTTTTGAAAATTTATTTAGATGTAGTTGGCAGGGAAGGGTCTGGGACGGGGTGGGCTTTGTCTGTCGACAGCAATATGCTTTAGAGGCCATGAAGGCTGGATATGTTTGGGTATCTAGGATCTAAAAGCCATAGACTGCAAGTATATGATCCTCCTTCAAGCCTTTCCAAATGCTCAGGCTGCTTTTCCCTGACATGACCTTGAGTTTGCACTGATTTCCAAAATGCATACATTGAAGGCTACCCAAGTCTTTAACCAGACCATTGACATTTGATCAAGCCAGTTCATTGAAAAGGGCAAAAAAAAAAAAAAAAAAAAAAAAAAAAAAAAAAAAAAAAAAAAAAAAAAAAAAAAAAAAAAAAAAAAAAAGACTCTTCATCACCTTTTAAATAGATCTTGGAGTTTGTAAGACCTTAGAGGTGATCTGATCAGACTCAGCCCATGATAAATCTCCAGTCAGTGGTTGTTGTAGGAACACCTCAAAGCTGGATCTCAGGTGGCTCAGGTGATTGCAGAACAGCCCTAATTTTTCCTGGTGAATTAAAAATCTGCCTTCTAGTAACTCCCAAGGATTAACCTGTGTTCTGCCTCCAATGCCATATATAAGGCCATATATGTCTTTCCATGTGACAGCTTTTGAAGTATTTGAAAAGCTCTTACTATTATGCTCCCCAAGTCTTCTCATTTTTAGCTCTGGTCCCAAGCAAAGAGGAAATCGGTATTAATGAGACCTACATCAGGTGGAGGAAGGTAAGATCCTGAAGGGCCAAGAGGATCTTACTACAATGGGCTCTTCTACTGTCTATAGTTTTCAAAGTCTCCAACGTAATTGAACATCTATGGGTACCTTGAAGCATAACAAAGTGTCTACTATTTAGGTTTTTACCATCATTCATTTATTCAGCAGTTACAGATCTACCAAGTATGGTGGTAGGCACTGAGTACATAACAGTGAACAAGTCTGGCATGGCACCTGCCCTCATGGAAATTATACCCTTGTGAAGGAAGCACACAGCTGAAAAAAGACAAAGGCATTTATGCTGCAGTATGATAGGCACTGTGGTAACCTACGCTCAGGGAGGGCAGCCATGCCAGGCTTTCCAGAGGAAGTGACCTTGAAGGATGAGGAAAGGAGAGACTGATGAACTGAGGGGAAGGGTATCCCAAAGATAGTTGCTACTGAGGAAGATGGCCCATAAGCAGGACCCCTTTTCTGGCTGCAGAGCATGTAGTGTGCTGAGAGAGGATGGATGGGATTTAATGGCAAATAGTGGGGAGGCACCAGTATTGGTGTGCCTTTGGATCATGCAGGAGCAGTGAGCTGTGGACCAGTGCTGGGGCTGTAGGACGAGAAATATCTCTCACTTCTTTTTGATCCAGTTAGAAGGATGCAGCTGAAACCCCACAATGGGTGTGGGCCAAGGGGACCAGGTTCGGTTCTAGGGCAGAGAAGTGGCAGGGAAGTCTAGGCGTAGGATTGGGGTGTTGGTGGGGCACTGGTTTAGTTACGGAATTTGCACACCTGATGTCATTTAAAGGGAAACAGGATGGCTTATTCTACCAATCTCCCTCTTAGGCTGTCTGAATGTCTTCACACTGTTGAACTAATTAAAAACAGTAGCCTTTTGAGATTCTTTTGTGTTAATGAGTTTCCTCAACGAGAGGGTATTCATCCCACCCCTTGGAAGGAACTTGTAATATCTGCTCCTTTCTCTTCTGATTCCCAGCTAAGATCAGCAGCCCAGAGGAGATGGGAATTTGATGGAAGGAGGAGCCCTTCCTGGGGCTGAGTGGAATTTCTGGGGCTTGGAGGCAGGCCCCAAGGGCTGGGAGCCTTGACCCTGAATAAGTGCTGGGAGTTGGTTCAGTGAATCCCAGAAGAAGCCCCACAACTTATAGGCAAGGTCTCAGCCTCAGTCCTTCTGGAGACATCTTCTCTGACTCTTCCTTCCCACCTCCGTTTTCATCTCCCCTCAGCCCCTGATGCCCCCTATACCCACTGGAAGCAGACTGTCTTCTACTTGGAAGATTACCTCACTGTCCGGAGGGGGGAAGAAATCTATGGGACCATATCTATGAAGCCAAATGCCAAAAATGTGGTAAGTGCTAAGGCAGTTTCTGTCTGGGCCAAGGTCAGAGGGAAGAAGGGACCCATGTAGCTGGCTCTCTGGAGCTCCCAGGACTCCCTCATCCAGGTGCCCTGAGTGCCTTGTGCACAACCAGACACGGTACTGGGGGAGGGGCAGTAGAAAGCCGGCTTTGAATCTGACTATGTATAACTGAAGGCCTCCAACCACGGCCCCTTGAAACTCAAGGGTGATAGATTTTCTCAAGGCCCCGCTCTGGACTTTCAGCCTTGAGTTCAGCCTCCAGTTCTGCATCCAAGGGGCTTTGGGCACGGAGGCTGTTGCCATGGGTTTCAGCTCATTTTGGACAAGCCAAGCCAGGAAATAACAGCTTCTGGTGGCCTGGAAGATGTTTGGTTTGCATTTCTTCAGCGCGCCTGGTGGGTCGGGGATCATGTGATTCTTTCTGAGCAACTGCGGGTGCAAAGGTGTGTATTAAAAGCGTCTAGAAAATGCTTTCAGGGTTGTGCCACAGAAGACTCAACCACCCCACTCTGTTTTCTCTCGGGATGAAATCAGAGGGAACATTTCTATATTATAACAGGAAGGCTTTAGGTTAGAAATCAAAGAACTTCCTGTGTGGATAATGAGGCACCAGAATAGATTCTCGAGGGCTGTTCGTGGGAACCCCTTAGCTAGAAAACCTTAGACACGGTAGTTACCCATCCAGCCCTCTGCCTGCGGGAGGGGGTTGTGCTTGCCTTTGCTACCACACTAATGCTGGGACCCTTTGCTCTTCCTTTGTAGCGAGACCTCGATTTCACGGTAGATTTGGATTTTAAGGGACAGCTGTGTGAAACATCTGTATCTAATGACTACAAAATGCGTTAGCATATGTGGGAAGCTGCAGAGAGCTAGCGAGAAGAGAAACTCTTACCTTGATCTGCGGCTCTGTAACAAGGAACACCGTTTGCAGGACTACACACTCCAAAACCAGAGTTTTTAAATTCTGCCTTGAAGATTGGTGAACACACCAGGGCTCCCGTGGGCCTTGCCACTGGACAGAGAGCCTCCAGCTCCTCAGCTCTGCTCTGGGAGCCCTTCACAGAGGTTCTGTTGTCGCCAACAAAGAGCAATCTCCAGTGCTGCGTCTGGGGCCCCCGAGGATGGAAAAGTATACATGTATACCCATTTGTCCTCCTTAACTGTGAATCTCTGGAACTTCCAAGTTTTGCATGCTGCAGGCATCTAGGACAGATTGCTTCACTAGAACCTGGAGACATAGTGTCTTTGATAGCATAAGCCAGATTACCTGTCTGTGCGGTGGTGTGTGGGTGCGTGTGCGTGTGCGGCATATACATTAGTTTATTTACCCACAACACCTGTATATGCATGCATATACAACCACGTGGGTATATTTCTGTGTTCATTCAGGGTGTGTGTGTGTGTGTGTGTATTTGTGTGTGTGTGTGTGTAAGTGTGTGTGTGTGTGTGTGTGTGCGTGTGAGTAGAATATATATTACTCTCAGAGGAGATTCTGTTGCTTTCAAATAGGAATTTGTTTTGTGATTAGTTCTCCCCATTCCCCATCCCTTACAGATGTTAAGCAGCTATGAAACGTTCTTTGTACTAGCTCTGGTCTCCTTTTGACTAGACTGTGGCTCTGAACCCTGAGCATAGTACCACGCACTCTGTTGGCGCTCAATAAATGCACATGAGAGCGAAGCCATGGCCTGTGTTCTTGGTGCTCTGGAAGGGGAGGGCTTGGGAGGAGGTTAGAGGACACACTGGAATGGAAGATCAAAGGAGCGACAGATGCTGCTCCCAGCTCCCAGAAGGTAGCTCCTTGGTAGAAGCAGTCAGGACTGGTCCAATAGCATGTCCCCTGCAAACTCTCACGGGGTGGGAAGAGGGACTTAGTGGTGAAATTGAGGCAGGGGAGGACCGGAACTAACCAAGAATGCTCTAGAATGCTCTGGGCTACGTGTAGCCTGGAGGAAGGCCAAGCTCAGGAATAGGAAAATCTAGGGTGTGCATCCCACTGGGAGGGCCTGGAGAAAGCAGGAGATGGTGGTCCTAGGTCCCTGGGGAGAGTCTGTGTCAGGGTCTTAGCAAAAGGCCAGGGTGCTGGGAGTTTGCTGCACCACACAGCGGCTCGTCCCTGGTCCCTCACTCCTGGCTAGTGTCTGGCCTGGTCTGCCACCCTCTACACCGACGAGCTCACCCACCTTGAATGGAGCCTTCTCACTGAGCGCAGGTGAAAAACATGTGGGTCCTAGGATGGTGCGCCAGGTTCCCAAGGCAGCTCCTGTCCCCAGCTAGTAAATGTCTAGCCTCCTAGACATTGCTTTGGGCCTGCCACCTCTCAGATTTTAGACTCTGGTTCCATCATGAAGAGGGCACAACCAGAGGAGAGATTTCTGTGGCTGGGAATAATCACTGGAGGAAGACAGGGGCCTCACCTGTGGGAAGGGCCCCAGGCCAAGCTGCCTTAAAGATTTAATTGCCAAGGAGCCTGAGGGCCTGCCTCTTTGCTGTGTGGGAAGGAACAGGGTGAGGCTCCTGAGCCATGGGGCTCTAAGCTGGCCTCTGCCTTCAATACACCCTGAACCTTGGGCAAGTCACGTCACTTTCCTGAGCCTCAGTCTTATTACCGCTGATCTGAACCAGATGAATGTTTTCCACGCTGTGTCCTCAGGAGCCCTGGGAGGTGCCAGGATCAAGGTGGGCAGAACTCTGAGTTCCCCTGTCTCCAGATAAAAAAAGCAAACAAACAATTCTTCCCTGGCCTGTTTTTACTTTCCTTGGAAAAAGGATTCTACTTGTTCCTCCGTCAAGAGAGAGGCAAACCATGAGAGACTCTTGAATGCTGACAAAAACTGAGGACTGATGGATGTGGGGGGGAGGGGGGGAGGGGCATGGAGGAGGACACTTGTGGGGATGAGCACTGGGTGTTATGTGGAAACTAATTTGACAATAAACTATTTGTAAAAAAAAAAAAAAGAGAGAGAAATAAAAGAAAGAAAAAGGATTCTACTACTAAAAAAATAAAAATAAAATAAAGAAATAAAAAGGAACCAAGACCCAAAGCAAACACCTCTGAAAATGACCTATCTAGGTGACCCTAGAGTCCTCCTGACCCTAATATTCTGAGGTCAGTGGTATCTTGAACCCTCTCACTTTCCTTCTCTCCTGCTGCTAGTTCTGGGCATTTTCACCTAAAGTTGCCCCAGAGCAGCATTTGGGTCTGGCTGGGTGCCCACCCCTTGACCCAGAACCCCATTTTCACTCATCTGCATCTTTATGTTATCTCTTGTTCCCATCAGTCCTGAAATATTCTCTCTGGAGCCATCATCACTGAGAAAAGGGGAGCAGGCTCTGTGGGCAGATATGGGGCCTTTGCCTGAGTTTTAAAAGGGGCCTCCTGAAGGCACACACACAGCTCTGTGGAGACTCTGCTTGGCAGGCAATGTGGATTTCGGTCCCTACTTGCCCCTGGTCTGGTGATTTGTACAGTGCAGACACTGTACAATGGGACACAGAGGACCCGAGAAAATCTGTGCTGAGTTGGAGCCCATGTTGGTTTCCCTCTAGCTCGTAAAAGGCTGTCCTGCGTTTCGATTCTCAGCCAATCATACTTTCCATTAGAGACCTGTAGGTAAAACTTCTAGCCTCGGTCCAAGTGCGGTAACCAAATCTCTGTAGGATGGAAACACAATGTACTTTGCCAGGCGCGGTGAAGCATTTGGATGTGGTTTGGTTTCTGGTTATTCTTTAGCGTCTGAGACAGGTAATCTCACCTGTGTCATCTCCTCTGGGGGAGATGTGCTGGAAAGGAAGAAGGGCCGTTTAGAGGTGGAGCTGACCAGGCCTGAGGTTGGGAGGAGGCAGAGGAGGCCTGGGCTTGGCTGTGGGTGGGGTGTTCTGGTGCTGGCAGTGCCCTTGAAAATGATCAGTGACTCCAGCAGTAATGGCCCTACCCTTTCATAACCCCGTGGCGTCTGTATACTTGTTGGCTTCCCCAGAGTCCTGGGAGTTTGGCTCAGGGGTACCCCTACCTGTTCTGTGGTGAAGACCCCCTGAGGCCCCAGAAGGAGGAGTGGAGTTGTAGGAGAGCTAGGCTGTGACCTCAGTCCTGCCCAGTGGTCCCTCTGCTGCCCATGCTGATCCCTTTGAACCCAGGCCTGGAGGCCTCTCCTTGTACAGCGAACATAAGTCACAGGTTAGGAGTCTGTCCTTGGCCTAGTGGCCAGTGTGATCATGGAGGGATCTCCTATCCTTTTCTTTAAAATTTAATTTTAAACTTAACGAATGAATGGATGAATTTTTAAGTAACACCCAACTTTGTAAACATACAGTGCCTTCCATCCCCATGTCTTAGCCAAGGACAGAAAAGGACAATCTCAAGAAGGCAGCGGTGACTGTATTAGGAGAGGGAAGGGGGTTGAAGAAGGACATGGGGGTGGGGGCACCCCCAGAGGGCAGTTGATGGAAACTCATTAGTGGGTTTTCACAGTGGTAGCAACTGGGGAACCCCTACATTCTGCCTTTCTTTGGGCAGAGAGCCCAGCCAACTTCGTGGAGGATTCGATCCATGGTCAATGGGACAGAATCCTACAGTGCCAGGAACCAACTAAGATGATGACCCCTGAGGAACTCCAAGCAGTTGGGGCCTGCAGGCACCCCTACATCCCTGGCAGACAGGGGAGGACTGGGCTGAGCAGAGGCCCAGAGGTCTTTTGGGCCTCTCTGACCACCAGAGGAGAAGAAAGTCACCCCTGCAGCCTGCTCCGGCCCTGGGTCTTCAGCCCTTGCCCTGCCCTTGCCTGTGTCTGCCCTTGGGCTGCAGGGGTGAAGCCAGCGGGGAAGCATGAAGGAGCTCTTCCACAGCAGCCCCTTTCTCCTGCCCACGAGAATGCTCTAGGGGGACTTGTAATTTCCCTCTGATTCAGTGGAAAATAAGCAATATCTGCTTGGAGCACGTTCTGCATAGAAGTGGGTGTGTGAGATGAGGTCTCGGCACGACAATAGAGACGCTATAAAGATGACTTCACTTACGAAACCTGTTCTGTCCCTGACTTTGCTTTTCTTTTTTCTTTTTTTCTTTTTTTCTTTTTTGAGACTGTACAAAACCTATTAGTGCCTTTCACTCCTGTCTCTCTTCTTCCTTTCTTTGTCTTTGGGGGAAACTTCTCCCTTCCATTCCCAGTCTACTTCTCCCCAGACCCACAGCCCTGGGGCCTCATTGCTGGTCCTATTTGAGGCTCTACCTGAGTCACTCAGAGAGCCATTGCATGCATGGTCCCTCTTTCCCATTAGTGCAGAGGCTCCAAGGACAGGAACCTGCCTCTCTCTGCTCATCCCCTTGAACAGCATGGGGGTGCAGGTGGGAGGAGACAGGATGACCAGCTGACCAGTTTGACTTCACGGAATGTGGTCAGGAACCATTCTAGGACTATCAGGCTCCTGTCCCTTCTATCTGTGCCCCTGGGAAGATGTTGACATTCTTGTTACTCTCATAAAAGCCACCCATGGAGGCTGTCTCCCTTTGCTGGGCCCCTCTCTGCTCCTCTGTCTCTATAGCCTTCCTCCCCTCTTGGCATTACAGCTGGCACCCCACCTTGAGGCCCAGCCTGAATCCAGACCTCTATAACAAAATGAAATTAAGCGACATCTCAGCCCATTGATGTCACCGGTCCTGGAACAGTCACAGGCTACGAGCCCTTGGATCAGTCACAGGTTAGGAGTGTGTGCTTGGCCTAGTGGCCAGTGTGATCATGGAGGGATCTCCTATTCTTTTATTTAAAATTTAATTTTAAATTTAATTTAAAAAGAAATTAATTTTTAATTAACACCCAACTTTGTTACCATATAGTGCAATAATGATTTCAGGAGTAGGTTCCAGTGATTCATCCCTGACATATAGCACCCACTGCTCATCCCAACAAGTGTCCTCCTTAATGCCCCTTGTCCATTTAGCCCACCCCCCACTCACAGTTTGTTCTCTTATGCTTTGTCCCCCTCCATGTTTTTATATTATTTTTGCTTCCTTTCCCTTATGTTCATCTGCTTTACATCTTAACTGCCACATATGAGTGAAGTCATAAGATCTTTGTCTTTCTCTGACTAATTTCGCTTAGCGTAATACCTCTAGTTCCATCCACATAGTTGCAAATGGCAAGATTTTATTATTTTTGATTGCCAAGTAATACTCCATTGTATAATATATAACATGTCTTCTTTATCCATTCATCTATCGATGGACTTTTGGGCTCTTACCATACTTTGGCTATTATCGATAGCACTGCTATAAGCATTGGGGTGCATGTGCCCCTTCGAAACAGCACACCTATGTATCCCTTGGATATATACCTAGTAGTGCAATGGCTGGGTCATAGGGTAGTTCTATTTTTAACTTTTTTTGAGGAAC